CTGTCCCTCCAGCCCAATTGGTAATGAAAACAAAATTTAAGTAAAAAAACAAAATTTATGTGATTTTTTTTTTTTTTGCATATTAGCCCGTGCTAATTTTTTTCCTGGATTCGCTACTGGGGTGGATTTATTGCACTAAGAATAGTTCTGTCAAGAAATGGAAGGACTTTAATCGGCAAATTCCTAGTAATTTTACCCCGAGAATTAAAAAAAATCATTTGCACCAATTCCATCAAGCATACAATGGTTCATGCACATCGCTATCAGAAAACCTCTGCATTTGGACTTCGTTACTTGAAAAAACCATCATGGCAATAAGGATGAGATTAAAGAAAACTTAAGGGGACCCTGGTACACTATACTAATGAAATGAAACCATTTGAGAACCCGCTGCATCCTAAGACCCTCTTTGGTTTGAATTAAAATCTCAAGTCAAAGTCAACAATTAATTTTAACCACAAATTTTTAACCACGTATTTCATCAATTTCTATCAAAATTTACTAAAAATCTGATTTTAATCTCTACCAAATAGGGACAAAATGAATGGCCCAAAGCAGTGGTGGAGTTAGGATTTTAATCGGTGACAAAAAACGTTAAGGGGAAAAAATGTGTTATGTTATAAAAATTCAAAATTTCTACATAGAATTTAAAAATGTTGTGGGTGGTTGCCAATCCCGGCTCCCTCTAGGTTCACCTCTGTCCTAAATTAGAGAGAGTTATTTTGACAATCGTGTGATTCTAGCTAGGAGGAATTTTAAAGAAAGCAACTTACTTGAGCCACCATGGGAGGAATTTCCAGTATATTTTCAGCACCAGGAATATCATAAACAAGCTGACAAAGCATCCCATTATGAGGCTTCGTAATATCACCTAAATCTTCGAGTTTACAATCTGCTTCGGCCGCCGCAAACACTGCCCCTCCGACCGTGCAATCCACCGCAAGTTTCTTATCCGAACTGATTGTCAGCCGCCCTACAAGCGGGTAGAAATGCACAAGAACTCTAGACAGTGCATCCTTGATTATTTCTACACCATTTTGATTGCTTTCCTCTTCGGATTTGAAGCCGTAAACTGTTCGCACTGTGACAGCAATGTTTTGATCCAAGTTGCAGAGGAAATATAGGTCGGTCGGGCAGGGCCGTACCTGTGTTTCGTAGGGCCTGAGGCGAACTTCAGAAGTTGGGCTCCTAAGTCATGGCAAACAATCTACGAAGGGAAGATATAGGGAATAACAACTACAAGCATTCTGCCAAAATTCAAAGAAGTTGGCTTGAAATCAAACAAAATGAATAAAATACAGCTCCAACTGAGAACAATGTGCATACAGAATATCGTTAGTCAGGAAAGAGCAAAATATCATTCCCGCAGGTAGATTCTCCACCTAAACCTTCCAAAATATTTTCAACTGCTCATAAACAGTAACAAGCCGTCAACACGTTAAATAAACCCAGGAAGATAGAACAAACTGAAGCAAAACCAAATCTACCAACACTTCGCAAATTAAAAGAACAAAAAAAAAAAATCTCAAACTCCGCCTTTTATCTGCATTTATCTTCTTACTTAACCTTGTCAATTTATTCAATGACTGACTGCAGAGAACACTAAAATGTGATTGCTCAGAAATCAGAATGTTCTTAACTTTATGATGTGAAATAGCAGCACATCTATAAAGAAGTGGACAATACCAGGTGGTGGAACAGCAGTAACTGCATTACACAATGCACAGCAAACATTTGTAGCTCCTGTGGGATAGAGGAGGACAGTCCTACACCCATTGCACGCTACTTGGCTCTACTTACCTGCAAAACCCAAAATTTAGAAAAGACAACTCATAAGACCAACTGAAACTCACTATTCTTTTCCAATTCATTCACAACAAATTTCTACATTCAGTAATTTCACATGATCGCAAAAGGACGGACAAACCATATAAACAA